CTTTACTCGATATGTCGAAGCACTTTACTCGCAGTTCTGAGTTCTTTCAGTGTTGTTGCTATCGAGTATCGACTATCGTATGATCGCATCATCGATTAGCCACAACTCACAAGTTCCCTTCTCACTAGCCACAAGTTCCCATCTCGCTTAACACCACGTGGCGACTACGGCGCCGTGTAACTAGTCGGAGAGCCTGGTCGGTTTACCTTCTCACTACGTTGGCGAGAGGGGCGTCCTACGACGTGTAACAGTCGGAGAGCCTGGTCGGTTTAGGTCAGAATTAGCTCTAGTACTAGTAGTAGTAGTAGTACAGTACTATAGCCCGCGTACAGTTGCCGCAGGCCGAATAAGAGCCGACATGAGAGCACGACACGTGTGTGCACGATTATTTACGCTCAAGGGGTCGTTGTCGTATCAGGTACTACAGATATGTACCCGAGGTACGTATACACAAAGTGTACCAGACTTGTATTACAGAAGTGTACCCTAACCCTAACACTAACCCTAACCCTAACCCTAACCCTTATTAACAATAACAAGCCTCACATAAAAATATAAACGTAATACTAAACAACCTAAAACTACCTCGGGTACATATCTATAGTACCTGATACGACAACGACCCCATCTGCATTAGGTACTTAGTTATACTAGTATACCTTTAGTATACCTTTACTGCTTTAGTACTTATACAGTATACCTTTACATCGAGGCTGTCTCCACAGATGTGTGGACCGGTGATGCCCACTGACAGCAAGAACAAGTCCACACCTGCTGCTACAGCACACACACATCTATTGACTATATATAACAACATAGTGCCTAACTCGCCGCCTCACTTTCCACTACTCACCGTTTTAAATCAGTTACAACTCCGGTGTTCCTGCAAGTGACGCCACTTTCCAACGATCGTTGGAATTTGAGAAGATTGCTTAACAAGCTACAGCTGCCATTTTTGACAATCGACCCGCCAGAATGCGCTCAAATCACAGAAATTCCTCAAATATCTATGCGAAACGATTCTTCGAATGCTACCAGATAAAAAAGGCGGCAGGCCCAACCACAGCGTCTGCGCTGA